TTCGAATTTTCCAATGGTGCTCATTCAACATCAACGGCCTATTTCGGATGTCTGCATGTTTGCAAGCAGTAGTCTGAAGCGTCTGAATGGAACGGGCGTCTGTATTGTTTTCGGACATTGCGGTGGTGATCGTCTACAAATGTTACGGCCCATTGTTGGTAGTTCACGCACTCACTTCTCTGCAACTTTCATCTCACCGCCACCGTTGCCGCTGGGCCATTCTGCAAAGCCTTATACCCTCGACCAGAAACAAAAAACAGGACTGAGCTTCTGCCTCAAGCGACTTCCACAGCCGCCGCTTCAGTTTGTGTCTCCACACATCAAATAGAGTGGGAAAGAGAGAAGAGTACAACTCTAGTGACTTTTGTTGTTTATCCCAAGTTGAAGCACGGTTCTTTTCTAGCCATTGCTACCTACATAGAAGTAGAAATAAGGCTGTAGACTTATGTATACTATTCCTCAATGGCTCGACTACTGATCGCCGTTACCATCGGGCGGCCGGTCGCTCGGTAGGTTGGGCTTGTAGCCACTAGTATAGCATGCTAAAACACTACACTAGACAACATGGGCTATAGAAACAGCAACAAATAGCAAATAACTGGACGGGTTGGGACCCGGCAGGCAGAATGCCGGTGGAGCGGAGTAGAGACTTCAGCCAGGAACGCAGCAGAGAGAACTGAGCATAGTCTAATCTCCTGCTCCACTTGTAAACATGGTCAGCCGGACGGACGGATGGACGGACGGACAACCAAACATCGAAAGCCCGACGAGACAAGCCCTGAGCCAAGGAACCTTAGACCCCCAATGCGATGTCTTATTTCCATGTATGCGCTGCGAATGTGATTGTTTCTCCCCATGGGGCATGTGTTCCCCTTAGATCCGTAGGTGGAGACTTACAGTACTGAGCCTCTGTTTTGTGAAACGAGTAGAGTTTATGCGTCGTTGGCCCAGCTCAGACCACCCCGTAACTACATAGCCAGTGAATATGGGGCGTAATGCCACCTGCAATGTAACCGGAGCATTTACAAACAACCCGAGAAAAGGCAGCCAACATTGCTGACCGCCCTGTATGGGACCCATCGGGGAGACTTTTGGCTAGGAGGTGACGGCCTGAAGCTCGCTTAAAGTCCCGCAAATCCTAGGCCTTTATTGTCACTGGGGTCGCTCGACCTACACCCACCCCGCCTGAATGAAATACAGATGACACGATACAAACAGGAAAGTTTCTCGTCAGGAACACATAGGAGACAAACAGTGTATTTGAAACCCTCAAACCTTCGATTTATCACGGGCATGGCAAACGAGTTTGCCACTGAGTTCTAGGGACTTTGTGCCAGAATCTTACTTGTTAATACGAAATGTCGTCTAAGTGCGGTACTCCTTTCGTTATTATTCTATGAATTAGGAAGCATCCTCTTACGTATTGTATCAACAATAAACAAACATCTGCTTTTTATTGCATTGTATCGTATGTTAAAACTGGATACTGAGTAACTAAAGTCTTCGCCGAGCTTTTGAGCTGTTCGCAAGCGCTACTGAACTGTCTCAGCGTTGACATAAGCCTACAACGTTTTCACGACTTGTTTCGTGTTCCTTATTTATGTCACCAACTAAATCCGACAATCACTAACCTATTCAATTATTCTGAGAGACGCTTGCGAACTTCGAAATCGAGGCTTACTAGCGCGCCCATATTGCCACCGATGTAAGATAGGTAAACTAACCGATTGAATCTATATTAAATGGCAATAAACTCGCCGCAGATGCGCGTTACCCTCAAACCTATTTGCAGTTCGAGAAAAAGGCAAAACTAGAAAAATGAAAGGCGCGTTTTGTTATAAGATGTCATCGAAGGTACTCTAGATTAAGTAAGAGCTTATCGGTCGAATACCACGATAGCGTGGTCGCTGCCAACAATGTTTACCTGGAAAGGCTCTAATAATGTAGGGCCTATCTGTGTGTTACGAAAAAGCAAAATCCCAGTGTTGAATGGCAGTAATAGCAGTTGATACTGGCCTATGCCATGATATTTCCACACGGCAAATAGTCTCTATGATCCGAAGCGTGCCGTCTGTTTGTATCGCTGCTAAACAACATAGTGCTTGTATAGTCATTATGTTTTGCTCAAGTCCCGTTAAAAACTATAAACATGCTTATCATTTTACGTTTCACCATTGGTTAGTCAACGAGTTACTTTTAACGGTTGATGCACTATATAGAATATTTTTACGATGATGTGCGCTGTTGCCGCTTTTTCTGTAGTCATCAGACGATATTATAATCGGTGACAGGGATCGGCGAGTTAATAATATTTCCGTTTTCACTTCCTTTTTAAGATTCTCTTTGTCTGATTACGTATAATTCCACATAATTCATTTGTCTATCAGCGGACTTCTCTATAGAATAGAGAGACAATAAAGGGGCATCGAAACACCTCAAAAGGCAAGGGAAAACGGAGATGGGGGAATTCGGTGTTCGTAGTGTTGCTGTCATTGTCCTCGTAGAGATTGCGACGGCATTAGGCAAGCACGTAGACAAATAGTAGACCTGATTATAGTTATGATGATTGTAATGGTAATAGAAGCTGCGCCCAACTAACGGTTTTAAAACCACTGTTACTTGTACTGCAAATAAACTCCGAAACCATGTCGCAGCTGCCAGACTGCGCCCGTTTGCTTTCTTAGCGGTCTCTAGCGATCCTTAGGGGCTTGTAGCCTCAATTTCTTAGGAAACTGCGGTAGCACTAATGACAGCTACAGCAGCAGCAGCACTGAATGTTTGTCGAGCGGGTGTTAACGGCCGAAATACGTCAGCGGATCGAGTCTGGATGCGAGAAACGGACGAGAAGACTTTTAGGCGAATGGAAGAAGCAGATCGCAGAGGATGGGAAGAGAGATCCTTGCCGGCTGTCCGCCTTTTTTGTCGTCTTCTTCCCTTTGGTCCTACTTTCGGCTTCGGTAGACCTTTTAGTTGCCGCCCTCTTCTTTCAACGGGTACGAGTAGCACACAGTGACGACGGTGAAAAGGACGACACAAGTCATAAAGTAAGCTAGCGGGAACATTTGTCTTGTGTAGTTGCTGCTATGGAGGCAGCCACTGCTGCTGGCGATGCTTACATGGCTCCCCGTGCCGATTGCTTGAGAATGCTCGAAGAAACCAGGCCATACGAAGCTAGACCAAACGTAGAGCAAGGCTCGACTAGCCAGCCGACCAGCTGTTTGAACGGGGCCCTAGGCGCCGCCTACTGTAGGCACTGTTTTGCTATTCTGTTCTCTACCATGCTATTGTATGAGATAGGCTATGGCCTTGTTATTCCGCCTGTGACGACACAGTCGCTAAGTTCATCAGCAGCAATAGCAAAAGCCCAAGCACAGCCACGCGCTAAGATGACGACAGTTCTATTGTGATGGTGGGCTCGCATTTCGGGTTGAACGATTCAGATTTAGTCCCATACGGTCGATGGTCGTAGCTCTTAATCTTCGACAAGTAACTGAAACACCAACATGCAGTTAATCTTCGAAATTTCGGAAGAATGCCCCTTGGGCGGTAAAAGGGAGTTTACTTTACGGTGCTCTGTTTTGCTTGACTGGCCCTATTGTTCTTCGTAGTCCATGTTGACAGAAACTGCTCGGGTATAAGGCCGGGTTCGAAGGTAAAACCGAATCCATTTGTTATAACTTCAATCAGCCAATAGCATGTTGACATGCCGAGCACCGTGTGGAACGACGTACATATATATGTTGGGCGAGGAAAGCTGTCATTTTAAGACGATCAAGAAGTAAGGAAAGGATGGTAACGCAGCTATTGTCCGGCTACGGGTACAAGATACAACCATGCATACGACAGGATACAACCAGACGATCATGTTACGTAGACTGATTAAAGCGCGTTTAAAAATTTTAGATCACGACCTGATCATTGAAAGAGCAGGACGTTGTTGCAAAATATTCTACCTACAAACCATTAATATTTAGGATCCTCATTGGACAACTGAAATGCCCAGACAGAGAAGTAAGTATCAATGGGCATACTGAACGCTGCTACAGCCGCCTGTATGCTAGCGTGCCGCATACTGCTAGTCCACTGTGCGGATATTTCCTATAATAACTTAGCTAATCAACGTATAGCTGGCGTGCGATATACTACGTCTTGTGTAAAAACGTGCCAGTGCTTAGTTTAAGTGTGGACGATTTTGCCATCTCCTCCGGGCTGTCAATGTTTACCAATAAAATGACCCGGTAGACTTCGTCCGACGGACACGATCGGTTCGTTCACGATAGGTGTCGCCACGGTAGGGTCATTGCGCTCCGTTCAATTAGGATGCGTTCGCAGGTCGTAGCAGCGACGAGCAACTAACTATGTTAGCGAAAAGACTAAAAGTACCTCGACGTCAACCGTACCATCGGGTATCTATCTCCTCGACACGTTACCCATCACATTCATTTACAAGTAATCGAACGTTGACTTTTTGTCGCACCCCTGATACATTCCTCGCGTGGATCGCTTCGCTATCGACTGATTCGGGACCGATTCTACGGATCAAGATTGGTTAAATCATTGTGGTGTATGGGGAACGCACGGGTAAATCGTTTATTGTCGCAAACTGAAGAACCAAAAGCAATGACAGCCACAGCTGTCAGCATCATCGATCGACATCATCACCACATCGTAAGGATCACTGAGATCAAGCGGCGTTTATTGGACGATGATGGTGTCTATTTAATTGAGCGGACAATCACTGCTCAAGTGGCTGGTCGCCGCAAGATGAAGCGAGATCGTAGCGCTGCAGAGCCATATTATCTGAGATAGGATCACGACTCGTGCACACCTATACTAGCATCAACTAGCGTCTAGTACGATACGTATAATAGAAAAGGATCTCCTTAATTGACATTAACGGAAAATTAGTTTTTTCTTTTTGCATAGATACACACACAGAGGGAGAGAGAACGAACATGTATGTGTGTACGTTTGCTTAAGGTGCATTAACTTTTTTTCAGGTGATGTAATGGGCTTTTGAATAGCACAACTACACAGTCGATCGACACAGGTCGGTGTAAGATAAATGAATAATTTGGCAGCAATGTAAAAGGTGCAGATGCATAGCATTTGCGCAGGTAAGTGTTTCAATGAATACTTATCTGTTATCATCGAATCGTAGCTATTTAAATGCCTACTATGTCCATAGGGTTGTTGTGGGCAATTTCTACATAGTTATTTAACGATCTTGCGGCAAGTTTCTCCGCTTTTAGTGCAAGATATGCTTGGGGCATACTTTAATAGAGAAATATTGAATAAAATCGATTGTAAGCACTGCAAAATATCTAACGGAAAGGTGTTGATGGTGTCGTTTATACAGCTTCGGACATCATGCAGTTGTTCTCTAGCCAACGAATGGCTCATAAATTTCTCCATAACCGTTCTTGTTACTTTGGTTTTTGCTGTACTTTTCTATAGGATAGCGCACTGGTGCTCGATGGAGCGTCGCAGCTGGCGCGTCGATCAGGCGATTTTGCCCCGATGCCAGCGGCATAAACAGAAGCGCCAGCCTCTGAGGCACCGCCAAGGGGCTCCGCACAGCAGATATTTGTGTACGCCGCCGTGGCGTTCGTCCCGGCAGCTATTGTTGCTGCTTTTCGTTGTTGTTGTCGATGGTCTGGTCGCAGTTTCCGGCGCCCGCCGACAAGGCGGCAACCAATTGGCTGAACGTGTGGTCAATCCAGGCGAGAGGATCTCAATTCCGTGCTTCCTCGAGACGCCTGGCGGATCAATCCAGTGGGTTCGAAATGGCCATCCAGTTGTACTCGACTCAACCACGGCCTCGCGGCGCCAATGGAACATCTCAAAAGACGGAACGGCGGCACTGCAAATCAGTCAAGTTACTCGGGCCGATGATGGTTTGTGGGAATGCTGGGAGTTCGCTGATGACGGGTCGGTGAAACGAGTCGCTAAAGTGCTCAAGCTTGTTGTAACCGGCAAGTATCAACTATGAGAAGAAGCTGCTGTAAGAAAAACGTTACGGAGACAGATAATTAAGATACGCCACTTTGTCGCTGATTATTTAATACCGCAAAGTAACCAGCTAAGAATAAAAGCCTCCCTTTCCGGTTCGCTATCGATGCACACAGTGTCCTAGGTCTATATTGTATTTCAGTTGATGGGTCTATATTATTCTTGGTCAACCAATGATCGTTTTTGCCGCATTTCTAAAACCATGCTAGCTTGCATCAAACCTACCGCTATGGCCTTCATGACCAGTCAGTAAACAGGAAACACGGAGAGGACCGTTCTCTTTTGTGTAGCCTTTCTTAGTGGCCTTACTATGGCTCTACAGCAGCTGCCTTTTCGTTGGCCGCCGTATTTGATCTTCAAGTTGTCTCGCGGCGTTTGCATGAGCGCAGCCACTCAGTCGCCGATCGTACAGCTGCTGATCCTGCTGTTGCGTTTTATTGTAATGCAACCAAGTTACGCGACATTTGGAAATAGTAGTCCTATGGTAGTGGAGCTTGAAGCACAAAGGCAAACGACAAGCTAAATGAAAGATTCGGTAGGGGATAGGGGAAGAATTGTAGTCTCAAGGAAAGCGTTCATAAATTTCCATTAAATCGTTTGTTTCATTTGACCCCTTGGTTGCTCTTGTTTTCGTCTTCAGGAGCACCGGAAGAGCCTTTTCTGGTGCAAGACGGCAAGCGTATTCACCCAGGCAACAATGTGCTAGCCAAGGAGAATCACACGGTGACTGTTGAGTGCGTGGCACGTCGGGCCGTACCCGAGGTCAAACAAGTGTTCTGGTCACTGGGACCGGACCACATTAATGTGACCGGCAACTCGGAGTTAAAAATCGATTTCGTGTCCCATGAAGACTCATACACGACCAAAAGCATACTCCGACTTAACACCACGCGTACAATGAATCATCAAAAAGTTACGTGTCACGTTTTTCACGTTGCGTGGCCAAACGCGTCCGTTGTCAGTGCCTCCCTTAATGTATTATGTGAGTATTTTTCTTTATTATTACCTTAAACAGATAGAGAAATATGTGCCGATGGCGGGGTTCGTACCGCCAACCCGTGGACTTCTCAGCTAGGCGTTTATCTGTTCGAGCCATTGCAGCGACGATCTGTACGCGTTGTGATACGCTCCCGATGAATAAAACGAACTCATGTACTATAACCACCACGTATTTTTATACACTAGTATTAGTAGATTGAAAAGTGCTTTGAAGAGGGCCACTGCGCGCAGTATAATAGATGATTATCTTGTTATAAAATATTTCAGTTTACACAGCAAGTATTAATCAAATAACCACTACTTATCTATGTCTTCTTCTAGATCCTCCGTCGTTCGCAATCAGTCGGATACCTGCATTTGGGCAGCCACTCGTGGAGAAAAGCTTCGTATCGCTCGAGTGCATTATCGATGCCAATCCACCAGCGACTCCGCGCTGGTCAAGAGAAAACCTTCCGATCAATTCGACCGAGATAATTCGGCAGGGGGGCGGTTTTCTCAATTTTACATCTGTCGATCGGAGTGACTATGGCTGGTATCGTTGTACGACTCAGCACCCAATGGGCAGCTTTGAATCATTTGGTTACCTGCTCAGTGTACATTGTAAGTAACCTTTCCTTCTTGTGCGTACATATATCTGGACAGAGCATGAAGCACATTAACAAAAATAACCCCGCTGTTCATACGAGAATTGCCCCACCGACAGTTCTTCTTCCTTATTTAAATATTAAACGCAACTGGACAAGACTGCTCTGTAATCAATTATCTGAAGTTTTGCTAAAGGAAGACGGAGGCATAATATTGTCGTCGTTTTGAAAACATCGCCTAAGCCGAGGTTCGTTGTCTCCTGTCACTTTCATTTTTCAAGTGACGCGGGGCTGGGGTTGGCGGGCTGGCTGGCTGGCTGGCTGGCTGTCTGTCTGTTGCAGACGACCAGGCCAGAAGAACGCATTTTACCCAAGCGACGGCAAATGCGTTGTCCTTGGAATTGTTCTACTTGATGACTCTGGAACACTGAGTTCTTTTCTGAGCTGATAGACTTGTTTCACCTTATCGGAAAGGGTTTACAAAGAAAATTGCAATTTCGTTAAAATAGTGGCCTTCCAGAGAACAAAAAATTACATGCAAAATGACTCTAGAGTGCTTGAAATGAAAGGCTAGAAAAGCGCGCGTACGGAAACGCGTGAGGGTGGATGAAGCAAACTAAATAAGAGTCAGGGACGATTGATGACGAGCTTGGAAAAAGCATCAACTGATATATTTTTTTTAAATTTTATGTAAAATTAGTTGTAATCATTCATCACCCAATGGTTCAGATGGAATCTTTCTGGCTTTTATCATTTTTTTAATGAAAAATGTTTCACTTGAAAGAAGGAAACGATTCCATTGTTACGATATAGGATGGTACACATCGGTAACTGCAAATCGAATGGTATCAAAGTATTTATGTCTATGATTGCTTTGTTTTGTTGTGTTTAGACGGTCCGGAAATGATGGACGATACGCCGAAAAAAATCCACGCAGGTTTCGGCGAGCCAGTTCGGTTAGAATGTCATGCCAAGGGCAAGCCGTTGCCAACGTACTGCTGGTCTCGCCGCCAGCCAGGGGGCCGACTCGCTCAAGGACTAACGAGCGACTCGTCCCTTGTGCTTGATCCGGTCGTCTATCAGGACGCCGGCACGTATCAATGCAGTGCTTCCAATCAGCTTGATTGGAAACGACAGAGAAACGCTATTCGAGAAGTTCAGCTATCAATCACAGGTAGTTAAGTTAAAATGGAGATAGATTCTCATTGGAACAATGAGCATACAAACAAATTTTTTATGGAGGTCGTACGCCAAGTTTTACATTACATTTTGCATATGTACCATACACCCGTTGATAAAGACCTGCATCTAAGGGACGGAATTGCAGACTTTGTGCGCTTTTCCTGCTGTAGTCTGTTTTCGAATATTGTAGGGCTCGAATGATAGTCAGTCCTCGCAAAATACAATAGCAAAGTTTACGTTAGTCGACACCTTATTAAAGTGAGGGTTTTTCTATCCAGGACGTCCCGATGTCAGTGCGCTCAACTCATCATTGACGGGGGTGCTTGGGCGTAATCTGTGGATTACTGTGCATGTTTGCGCCAATCCTCAGCCATCTCGGTCGCACTGGCTACTAGACAGATTCGTGCTCAGTCCGGGCGACGATGTGAAGGCGCATCCACATTACATCGCGCATCCCTATAGAGTACGTATTACATTGAATTTGTTACATATTCAAGTTCAGATTGTCTTTTGAACTAGAAGCAATTTCGGCATTAGGAACGGACGATCCGGTTCAGCATTTGGTAAAATCTTATTTATAGAGTAAGAATAATAAGATTTTTTTCCTTTCTTTCGAAATTATCATATTTGAATAGGTTACAGCTCTTTACTGATAGAAAACTCCCAAGCGTTTATTGTCCGTTGGCCCAATTTGATGAAAACGTAGCCATGGGTAATTTTCTCTCGAGCGATTAAACGACAATATCTCTCTAGAAGACAGGTAACAGCGAACACTCAATAATTCCCAAAGGTACTGAAGGAAAGAATTTTAGCGGGTCTTATCGAGCTCTAATAAGAGCAACTTCTATCGGCTTTGCCTTTAAATAGTCCTTCCCACCAAGGTGTGCTTAGGCCATCGAGCAAATGCAAGCTAATCTATTTGATTTGGCAGGGAAAGGCATTTCATGTTTCATCAGCTGTCACTTAATTTTCTATTTATTTTAAGAGTTGATATTATATCAAATGTGCGTTCATGAAATTTTGTTTTTTAACCGCATTCGTTATTGTATTTTACAGACTGCGGAGACGCCGTTTTGCCGGTACGCTTCATTGGAAATTCCGCACATTCGATATGCTGATATGCGAGAGTTTCTGTTCGTGGCCCGCAACGAGCGGGGCATTGATGACGCCGTGATAAACGTAACGGTCGTCAAGAGTGCCTTCGGCTACCAGGACAACCTCATTCACACTCAGCACAATAGCAGAACCCTCCCTGGTCGTTCGGAAATGTCGCGGCCCGTTATGGCGAATACAGCAAGTGCCGGCAATGGTCAGTAAGCACGGGACGTACTTAGATAGTATACTATCGTTAAGAACGTACAATACTAATATACTGCGTCATCAGTTACAGTTATTGAGCAGGCTCAAGTGTTTTTACAGCCATCGTTGTGAAGCTGATATTCTAAATTGAGATCTGTCTACAGATAGGTGCTTTCGAGTCGAGGACATATTACTGGAAATTCATCCCGTACATCACTTGCTTAACCTAAGCCACAAATCCCACTCAGATCGAGAAGGTCACGGTGTGCCGAAGTGCATCATAGGATTTTAGCAACAAGGATCTATTCTACTTCGTTAAGCCTTAGTACCGATTTGCTTGTTAAATGTATCGTATAAATAGTAATAGTTGACGTTGTTGATTGTAAGCCATAACTAGCTATAATGTTCGTACCTATCAAGTTAAAAGTACTTAATTGTTTGCTGATTGATCCAGTACGTTTGATTATTTCACTGCTCCAGCTACGTACGATTTGGTTAATGTACTAATAAAAACTAAGACACTGAGTAAGAATCCTTCTTCTGAAGCGTCTCGCGTGTTCAGAGCGGCGAATCTATGCTATCAATAATAACCAGTAATCAATTTTACATCGTAGATACTTGATTGTATATTAACTAAACGAAGTAGGTCCTTCATTCGATGTATGCGTATCGTCTGTAATCCTCTGCCACTTGAATTTTATCGTACGAGAGTCTATGAAGTATCTGACGGAACTGCGACATTATGTTAAGATTTCTCGAAGAAGAAAAATATCGAGGGTTTGGAAAAATAGTAACCTATGGCAGCTATGTCTAGCGAGTGTACGAGATGACAGAATGCCAACTGTAACTCTTGCCTTTTCGCTAGCGTGATTCTTACTGGGCAACGTTAAACGTTGTTGCTCACTCAACTCTGCTCACTAATCTTGGCTGTTTACTGCAGAGTTTTTCTTCCCAATTTCCTCTAATTTTAATAGTCCGACAAAGCATACTTGATAACAAGCCGTACCAGTTAACGCCTACCGACAACAAGCATAAGCTATTGCACTTACATGGTTACTTAAGGTAATGGCCAGCCGGCTCAGTTATATCCATGAAGTGATGTGACCATTTGCATTTATCCATTCTCGTTACTAGTCACAATTCAGTACCAGGATGGGTCAGTGCTATAACGAGAGAGTGACGGGTCTCTATGTTCCTGTTCTTGATCTTTGTTCAAATCATGCGACAAGCAGTTCTCCATTTTTTTTTACTCTGTTTTAATTCGACCGAGGCGAACAGGTATAACATTTTTATATACACCAAACCTAAGTACAAACACTCATTTTCTTTGAGATAGGACGGCTTCCAAAGCTCAACTTTTTGTTACGCGCTTTCGCAGGAGGCCTTCCACGAGGCTTACTTTTCTTCCAGAATTTTTGAACCAACGGCTCTTCTAGTTCTAATAGAACTAGTCTAGCAGAACCTTGGCCTTATTCGGGTTCTATTCTGTAAGCTGTCCTTGCTGCTGTAGTTTCAAGAAGTGACTTATATTCGTAAACTGCTTGAATTTTCTGTTTTTTATTGTCTCCAAAAGCTCAAGTGACGATATCCTACTAAGTGGTCTCAGACTTTAAAGAGTGTATGTATATCACAAATACAAAAAAGATGTCGCCAAATGTCGAACCGTTCTAAAGCGCCATCTTAAAATATAAGATTAATTTTTGGACATTTCATCATATAAAGCTTAACTGATTCTTACATTCGAATTTATTCCAGGCGAGTCGATTCGAGGTGTGTCCGTCAGTTCAGTGCTTGTCGTAGTTTTGTCGAGCTTGTGGCTTACGATGAGACACTGTTAAGTAAGAAAATTAAAGACAAAAATTCAGTTGAACGCAAAGCATCGTCTCATGTAATATGTAAAAGTTGACTAAGAAGTAACGTCAAGTGACCCGTCAAATGAAACAAGTATGCATCTGATGCTTCAAGCGACAGAAGAACTGCCATCGTTACTATGTTATACGGTCGACAGTGAGGCCGTCGAGCCGCAATCTGATGCAGCGAGGTCCAGCAAGATCTAGTACGATTCACTTCAGCCGTTCGTTACAAGGTGCATACGACGGCGATGCAACGTTCACGTTTAGGTGAAAACGAGGAACTAGAAGGAAACTTTTAATGGGAGATACACAGTCTTTACTGAGTATTCTAGCCGGAACAACAAAACGGCAAGTGTCATGGCTACACCCGTAAACAACGACGACAAAATAGGAAAGAAGCAGGCCAAAACCACAGTAGTAATTAGACGACAATGGCGACGACATTTAAATGGGTAGAAAGGAATTGGGTGTCATTGTCGTCCTTGTGTGTCGCCATCCGAACAAATGACGACGGCAGCGGCGGCGGCGGCGGCGGCGGCAGCGGCAGCAGCAGCAGCAGCAGCAGGGGCTCTGGAATTTATCGAGAACGACCGAGACAAAAGTGGGACTGTTCTGTAGTAGGGAAGGTTGTGTTGTTGTCCTGATTGGGGACTTAGGAACAAAAAATGATAAAAAACAAATGCGACCTGTTGTTGTTTATGCTGATGATGCCCGTGATGGTGATGATTATAATGATTACGTGCATAGTCATGTGGAACATTTAAATGAAGTGGATCAACGCGACTAATATCAGTTTTTGGCTGGATGGCTGTATTCGTGTAGGCGACCTGTCAGCAGGCCGTGCTATGACTTTAGCCAACCCTGCTGCTGAAGCACTTTCTAGCAAACAATGCATATTATGATGATGGTAAAGATAAATAAACATATTGCCGTTAAATAATGAATTATGGATGATTACCTATTTAAGGCGAAGACATTGGGGGTTTGAGAGCGTTATCGCGGTTTGTTAGACATCAGCTAGACGCAGTGTTCAGTGGTTTGTGAAAGTGAGTTTGTTTGGCCTGAATAGATGCGAAAAAAAGAAAGAAAAAGGAGAGAGAAACAAAAAAATATATGCGTCATGAGAGAAAATAAAAGAACGATCATATTAGTTAGCTAAACAACAATATTGATGGTGTCGAAATGGCCACAAACTCGGTGTTCAAATGCTTGGTTTTATGCTAATGGAAAAGGTGCAGTTGATGCCTAGAAAATCGGATTGTGTAGATGTATAAGTAATACACGAAAGCCGAGTATAACGGACGGCTATAAGATGACTTGGGCAAAGTAGAAAATAACGGAATGCATAAAAAGTCAAGTCAAGGGCACACTAGCAGAAGTACCACTAGGACAGCGGGATAGAATGTCAGAGTGGGTCACGGGTCAACCCGGTGTCGAGTGTCGTCCATTGAGCACGTAGCTTTAGTTCGACGCAACAGCTGCCTTTGGACCGATCGCACGACGAGGGCCGATCACCTGTCTGACCGACAACCAGGAAAATGGCGACGACGAAAAAGAAGACGTTCTGAAGCAGCTTTGTGTACATATGTGTGTTGTAAATGTATGATATTATTTAGACTCATTGAAAAAGGGAAGAGAGATAGAGAGTGAAAGAAAAAAAAAACAGAAAAAATGAGGGACAGGAGAATGAAGAGAAGTCAAGAAGGATGAATTATACGGCGAAAAGGAAACAGTAAAAATGTAGAATGTGTCTATTGCATATGACAGAAAATTTGAGTGAATGACAAAAATAAATTATGGAAAAATAGATTGTTCTTATTTCTTATTGCCATATTGTACTTCTGGAGGGAGGAGGTATTAGGAGGTATATATGTTCGGGGTAACGGATCCGGTAAAATGACTAGTCACCGTCTCGCTGAGAAACATTCTTCGCCCATATAATAGCATGTGTCATAGTTTCATATGCTCAGTTTTTTATGGGAAATTTTCATATAAACTATTAGTTAATAATATCTGCTCGCTGTCATTAAAACAGAAATATTTTTTCGCAATGGTATCAAAATAGAGGCATCAGAGCCTTATCTAGTTGTGAGCTGGAAGTCTAGCATTATCTTCGGTTGATCACTCGAAACACGCGCGAAAATAGCCGAAGCTCGAATAAATACTTCGTTTGGGCCGCTTACCATAAATCTGTATCTACATTCTCATATTATGCTGGAAAAGCACATTTCGAGAGCCCGATACTTCTATGCTTGATTTTTTTCTAGTAAAGAGCAAGAAATCCCGTATTTGTCCAATACGAAAATATGCCCTCTGTTCGTAATGTAGAAGCACGAACAAGCGGAGGGCAACGCTTGACAAAAGCGTGAGGAGCAGTCTGCCTTCAAATCTATTTCGTTCATGCAAATTGGAACCGGATGGGTGGAAGTATGGAGCCTCGAACGAAGATAACTTTTGCTATTTCTGTTCTTTAAAACTACACGTAAAGAAAGCTCGTAACAACACATATAGCGGATAAATATTTGTACGTAAATTCTATTTACAGTATTTCGTCGGCTTTTTGAAAAAAAAAACCCTCATCTAGCATAAAACTGAATCAAGCTACTCTTTGTTTGAGCTTTATGCTATTTTATTATTTATTATAATACAGGTAGTACGAATTGATGCGAACCGTAGTTTTATACGGGTGAAAAAATCGTGCCGGGTGAGTATAGTGTAGTATTCCTTTCTCCATTATATTGAAAGGTTATATATCCGTGAAGATATATATATATATACGGAGAAGGTTTAATCCATAACAAACGAAAAGCTTAGAGTTATTCTGAGCTAGGAAGTGAGCACAATGCATATTAACATCGGATTCATCGGTTGATTTTTGCTGTGTGATAAAACTCTATAGCAAATCCTTATTTTTATAAGGCTAGAAACTAGAATACGACCTTGAAACCCAATGTGTGAATCTATATAACAGCTATTTATCACTTGTCAAGCAAATATTTCAACCTATTTTGTACGAGCCATCTTAGAAATATGAACTAGCTTTGTTCCATCGAGCAACAACTCTGTATTATTACCTCTGCACAGTAAATGGAGGTAGAGATTCAAGCACCCAGAAACAATTTCCCTGAGTCCATTGCTATTAAGATCGTAGAGCAACGATTCCCGGTAGTGGCTTCAGAAGAAAATCTGATAATGCAATTGCAGCAGAACTCTATACTGCTATCTTTAATCTAGTAACTGTTCGAAAAAAAGAAGAATAGAACATTTGAATAAACCGCCTGTATCGAGGACTCTTTCAAATCGTGTCTAATTTGATTCGTTATAATCATTTGATCCTCGATCACCTAAAGAACAGTATTTCAACGCTTATTCGAGGAAGCTGCTTGCTTAAGCCCGCCACGCGCATACATAAATACTTATCTTGTACGATAACAAATTAACTAATTATACCCTATGACGTGGACTGAAAGGCTGTAGCCATGCGGGACACTTATTAACCAGCAGAATCAGAACAAATCGAATTGTTTCATATCGACGATCGTTTACGCCCTGTACATTTACTCGTTCTTCGTTCAGTCCCACCGGTCACCTCGTCATTAGAGGCTGCTTTACGTGATAAACTCTTCATTTTCCTGTTATCTGAGAAAATTTTAATTTTTCCAAATTTTAATTTGCTTTTTTAGACAATCACGATCTAACTGTATAGCAAAAATATTCAGCTGATTACCAGTTTAGTTGAATGTTGCAACGAGTCCATCTTTATTTGGCGATCACACATATATAATGTATCAGTGCGTTCTAGCGAATCTCACTCACTTTACACTTCGGAATAACAATTCATTAATAAAATTTTCCTTAACTTATTACATCGAGATATGTTTATAGACTACTTGCGACATGAAGTTGTGTTAGTTGTCAGGATGGTATTTTTTAATCTTTGGACATGAGCTCTTAGACATTTTAGCCGCGAGTTTTTAAATTTTTCATCATAGAATCTTCTCATCGGGCCAAAACAACCAATTTCCAAGATATAATCAAAATTGTCAAGATCTCGTTTGCGATGGCCTGGACGAGTATAGCGAGCTGCGTCCGCATATATATATATATACATATGTATAGAGGCATTGTTTATTATATTTGTTATATGTGTATATTTTGTTATACGTGTTCTTGTCATTATCGCTACATTAGAAAAATGTGTCATTGAAATAAGATAAAAAGTGTAGGAAGAGTTGCGTTACTACTAATTTCACTGCTTATAGGCCTGCGCAATAGATTAGGACGTCGGAGGCAGCGGCAGGTATCATCGGCTAGTCACATGAGAGTCTGTTCGGCCTTGCTCATGTACTTCTGTCAGGCTTAACGCAGTATTGGTATTAGGTTTGTGCAATCAGCGAAGTCGAAATTTGTGTTATAGTTGCTAACTTTTCGAAAACCCGTAAGTTAAACTAGAAATTCGATTATTTCTAAGGTCATAGTCAATCTGCCGAGCAAACAGCTATAGAACTAACATATGAAATTGGCCTATGTAATTTTCTTTGAGGAAGTTATGATAGTACTGTGATAATGTAAAATAAGGGGTTCTTGTACGTGCCAGAAATGTGGTATAAAAGCAAAAAATATTTGTCCATGTTCGAGAAAATGGCGGCTATCCGAGTATTATAGAACTCTGGAGGTGTTAACGCAACAGCAGGATGTACGAAAGATCAAACGGTCAAATTAAATTATATACATATAGATTAAAACTACGTTAAGTTTTTGTTTAATGTGTCCTAGATTTAAGCCAAACGGTGTGATTTTCTTATACTTACAATTAACTAGTATAGAAAAAAAAATGATAATATTTGTCAGATAAAATATTCCAAGTCCCGACAAGGTGGAAGCGTCTAGGTAGGAGCAGTTAAAAACGTTCGCATGTGCCAACAACTTTAAAAATAATTAGCAGCAGCGATTTGTCCCTTGTAGTCATGGGTACAAGGAACGCTATAGCGTCGCCTTTGCTTCATGTTACCGTCATCTTCAAACTATGAAAAATACGGCCGAACGAAAACACCAGTTATCTTCGTTAGTGATCTTATTTTAGTTTTATATATATATATATATATATATATATATCTATTTCGAAATCTCGTTTGTATTTTAGAGCTACAATAGATTCACGTTAAGTCTCTTTTAATGACGTGTACAAAAGTTATCCTTCGACGTACCAATTAAATTGCTAGCAAAATTGAGTAAATGATACATAAATACTAAGCTTGAATAATAGAGGGCACCGGGGAAGCACAGCAACGGATGCCTGGCAGCTGCGACAACAAATCTGGCCAAATCTTTTTCATATCTGCGAGTTACCGCTGCACTATTGCGTGCACGATCAATTGTTTCAGTTTACACGTGCACGTCTTCAGTCAACACATACGACGGTAGCACCCGGCTACCACTTAAACCATTGATTGGAGCATTTGCGGGGTGACAAAGGCGCCAGGCTTACGAGCACAAAACCTCGATTTCAAGTCTGAGCTGAGACACGAACATTTTTCAAGCCATCTAAATCGTTAAATCCTAGTAAAATAAACTAGACCAGCGCGAGTATTATTACACACTCTATTAGTAATATATATATATATATATACTGGTCCCTATCATGCTACAAATAACACTGTTCTTTGCAGCTTAAAGACACTGAAGAGTTTCAGCCGCTACAGAAAATCGTGAAACTCAGCATTACGCTTTTTGCGGTGTATGTCGACTCAGCCCCACGAGCGTTATTACCTCAAGCTATTACTATCGCACGCACATAGCATGATATCGTCCAATGAGCCTTATACGGCTTACGTTCCCATATGGATACATTCTCTAAGGTCTAGCCAGCTTGGCGCATTTTAGAGAATCGCGACCTTTACATGCAAGCCACGCAGGAAACTGTACGCGTATTGTGCCTGCGGCGTTTTCGTCTGTGCACGTCATGGAGCTTCGACATTACCAATAATATTCGCCGCATCCTGGCAACTGACTCACTAAAATTATCTATCGAAGATCTCAGCCGTACGGGACAGTCAGCTCAAATGGTCGAAACGAAAGAGCCTACAAGCACAGACTTTCATTTCACGTCTTTGAGCAAATACAACCAACAAAGCTGAACGTCTACTGACGGGCGGAGATGCTAACGTTCTCCTGGATAGCGACAATAAAGAATTGCGCAGTGTATTCGACAAAGTTCTAAGCGCGGCATCGTGAAAAAGCAAAAATACGGAGTTGGTACCACGTAATCAGAAGTAACTCGTATGATGCATAGGTAGGTCAGAATTGATCGGAACCAATAGAGGCTCAGTTAGTCAAAGCAGATGCATCATATACATATAAATACAAGCAAACATATGTGCTAGTTATGGCAGTAGTGACAGATTGCCTGATACCAACTTCATGTGTACTTAAGTATTGTTATTTACGATTAGGAAGTTTCGTTTTTGCGTTCCAAAGCCTTGAACTTCACTGAGTTTCGGGATGTCTGTTCTAAGGACTTGAGTACCCATATTTCAAGATATGTTAACGCATGTCATACATAGCTAATCTATATCACATAACTCCTCTAAGGGCTCCAATTGGCTCGCTAAAGTGAGAACTATATAACTTGCTGGCCTGCTATATTTAGCTCAGCAATTATATTATTGGTTTCCATTAATTATATGGCTGAACGATTCTCCTATTAATTTCATTCATCGTGTTTTTTTTTTACAACACTTTACACAGACAAGTGATTTATATTTTACCATAAGCGTTGACAAGTTAA